TTGTTAATCTCATTTTACACAAGATATATATTTAATAACGTAAAGTTTCAGCCGATAACTTAGCAAAATCAGCGCTACGATCGCTCACTTGTGCCTCTTTAATTTGTAAGGATTTGCTTCTTAAGTAATGAAATTTGGTTTGAAAAAAAAAAACAACGGAAAGTGTAGATCTAATATATATACACTTATTCGATTTAAATGTCGATGTTGGATTGGTAATTAACCGTGCGATGATATCTAGCAACTTTGAACCGTCCTTCTTGGCATGTCAATTACATTTTTGAAGTATTAAATGTTCCCATATGATCTTAAAACGTATATAGGGTCCATATCCATGTGAATGTCCAAGATAATATGATTTAGTTTCGCGTAGCAGATGGATCGAATCTGGCGTCCCAGTCCCGTCTCTTTACCACTTGACCACAGTGTCTTGGACTACGCTCATTGTTTTGAGAGCTACTCTATGCATTTTCTTGGATTGTGTAAGCTCATGAACTATAGTAATCAGGTCAACTTATTATTTAATTAACAGAAGGCAGTAACCTTGTTTAAGTAGGAAAAATTAAATAGACTGGGTAATGTATCATAGATATATATGGTTTAAATTTTGAAAAAATAATAGTAGAAAAAACAAATAGAGCTTCTAAAAAATAAACTATGGGTCATTATGTCAAGCATAGATAATTATGAGGATGTGTTCTGAAATTTTGAGAAAAGTTATTATCATACCTTGTTGGCTTATCAAATCCAAAACAAAATTTCTTTGGAATACTTAATATTCAAGACTTTTGATTGAACAAAAGTAAAAGCCATCAATAGCCTTTGTTTTGTCTCTTTGCTTGTCAATTATTTGTCTGAATATCTTCTTCTGATGATCACTCCAAGAAACTTCAAAGAAAAGCTCCATATCAACCAAACGCTGCAAGATCCTATCTGATCTCTCTGTAAGTGATTAAGCTCTGTTTCTGGAGTACAATCCTCGGTGAATCGGTACATATATAAACCTTTATTTTTGAAACTTACATATATAAATTTTAGCTTAAAGTTCATGTATCAGTTGCAGTTGGTGTATTTAGTTTTGGATTTTGATGGGCTAATTAGACAAACAAATCTTGTTTTCTACAAATTTTGTTGAACAGAAACCTAAGCTACTCTTTTTTTTTTCAGGCTGTGATGGATCAAACTCGGTGTTTTCGGTTTTTAGGCCAAGTAGAAACATGTAGAGTTGTTTTTCTTATGGTCTTGGTTATTGCCTTCGTTTTAGGCCTACAATATTTCGAGCTCACTCCGATATCTATTGTTTCACCTCGAAACGGTACTGTTTCTCAGTTCAGAGAAACCAATAATATCACTAAAAGTGCTGAAAACCAAACGTCTCTTGCATATCAAGAACCATCGTCCGGGTTTGAACCGCGTAATAGTAGTACTACGGAGGTTTTAAAGAGTTTAGAACACAAGTTTTTGAATGATTCTCCCAAATCAGAACCTTCTGAACAAAGTAGAGGCAATGACACCGCAAATTCTCTGCATTCCCTTCAACCAAAGATTCCTCAAAGAAAGAAGAACCATGAGAGGAGCACAAAAAAGTCACCTTTAGTTGTCGTATCAATCAGCCAGATGAACAATATGATACTGAAACGGCATAGTGACCCAAATAATTCACTTGTATGCAAATGATTTTACCATAATTAAGTTCCAATTTCTTATTTCTCATAACTCTTTGAGACTACCTTTTTACACCTTTTTTAAGTTTGTAGGCGCCGCGTTGGGGATCAAAAGTGGACAAAGAGCTTAAAACTGCAAGAAACAAGATCAAGAACTCGGAATTGGTCAAGAAGGATGATACCCTTTATGCGCCCCTCTACCACAACCTATCCATCTTCAAAAGGTTTAACATTTAAGCAAATCTTTCATTTAAAAAAAAAAAACATTTAAGCAAATCTAAAGCAATACATATATATAAAAGAATAGTAAGTGCCTAATTGTTGATTTTGCGTTTGATTTTATAGTGATATGTTAAATTATTACGTAATTATAATAAATAGAACACACTCATTTAGTGTCTTTTTAGTCATGGTTAACGCAAACACATGAAAAAAAATGTTTGTGCTTTTTGCGTTTAAAATTCAACAACTACTGTTTAATAATAAAAAGAGAAAGCGTTATCAGTAGTGTTTAATTTTTGTTTAAATGTAATG